CAAAAAGGGGGTTAGGGGGTGAAGGGCTTCTAGGAAAACTTATTGTAAAAATATTTATAGCCTAACCTCTGTTCTAGCAACATAAAGCAGTTACGTTCATTTACCCAAGATGTACGTGCAAGATTAGTCTGTAAAACCTTCAACAAATCACTAAGTAAAAAGAGCCCTCAACAAAATTATGCCACAGCATAAAAAGCAGAACAGCATGGTGAAACCGGCCCATGAGCTGTTCTTCACAGTCTCTCTTCACCAGCAATGTCAGAAATTGGCACCAGCAAGACTTGCTCTCATGGCAAGAAATCACAGTGCTTTAGGAACACTGCTGGAGGAGGAGACGTGTAACAGCATCTTCCAGGATCCCAAAGGAGACACTAAGTGTGACTCTAGTCTCTGCTAGATTAGCAGATCTATCTGAGAAACACTAACTTTTATCTCCCATATTTTATACTACTAGGCGCAGTCACATCAAATTTTCAAACCACTCCAATACTGTCCAGGTTTTGTTGAAAATACTTTATTAATACAGAAAGTGTTTGTACCCCCTGCCCAAGAGAAGGCAGAGTAATCACTGCACGGCACTCTCTTCCCCGTGGCCCGGCTGGGTGTGTCACCGCAGCTGGAGGAGACAGTAATTGAGGGCAGTGTTATCAACAGACATACCTGGTAGCAGGGGTGCCAGAGTCACTGGTAGCCGGGGAGCCAGAGTCACTGCTGCCCTCAAGAGTGGCTCTGTGCAGAGTTACTGCCTGCTAGTACCGACTGCAAAGCTGACCCAAGGGCAGGGACGTGTTTCCTCAGACCACTGAGGTTAAAGCATTTGGTCCTGTTTAATCTGGTAGAACCCTCAGTGCACTGGTAGCAGAATGGAACCTGAAAATCCTACTAGACTGGGTTGCAATAACTGGTAAACCTGGTATTTCCAGCCTGCAGCCAAAACAAACATGAGAATAAAATCACAGCCCTTTTTATTTTTTTCCCCCTTCTTCTTCTTCTTTAAGCAGCAGACAAAAGCCCTCTTGAAGCCTTGTTTATAAGCAAACCAGTCTCAAAGGCTGGATTTGCATTGGCAGGGTTTGGTGCCTGCAAAATAAACCTTTCTAGGTAGTGTTTTCCTTCTGCCCATAAGGAAGGAATGGTTTCCAGTGTAATTTCTCCCAGACTACAACCCTTTCAAACTACACTGAGGAAAATGCCTGATTCAACACAGCTGGCCTCACCAAGCTTCCCTGGGAGCCCCGGCACTCTGGGCACGCACCTGCAATCCCTCCTTTAGGAAGGCAATGAATGCTTACACACAATCTGACAGTCTATTGGCAGGATGAAATCACTACTGCCATTCAAAACCAGGAGAATGTACAGAAGCTCTCACTTAGTTACCATTTCTTTGGCAGAAATCGTTCCATTTGGGCAATACTTTATATTCTAGTATAGCGGATACCACAAAACATCTTTAAAGAAGTGCACTTTAATCAACACCCAGGTTCCCAATTGAGTGCCAGGTTACAGTTTAAAACACATTCTCTGATCAAAGTGATAAAACTCCTAGAAAAATGGTCTTCTATTACCTACTGTTTTTCCTCTCCTGTCCTATGTTCTCCATTGTCCGAGGACCTTCGTGCTACTAGTGTTTTGTGTATAGTGGTGATTAAGTGAACCAGACCACCACTGGTACTCAACTTTTACTCCACTCATAACTGGCTATTCCAATAAAGGGTCTCTGCTAAGGAAACTGCACTTTGGCTTCTGAAAATTATTATTGTAATAAGAAAGCCAGAATAATTATAAAGCATCTATTGAAATTTACAACTGCAAGAATAGTGACTTTCCATGCTCCTTAAAACTTCATTCTTTCAACACTCCTAGGAAACAAAGCAGAAGTATTTACTCTACAATTAATGCACTTTTTAAAGGTTCTAAATTCTTTGCATTTCAGCCAAGCTTCATGTACCAGATAGAAATGACATGATTATTTGTTAATTAAAGTTTGGGATCTTAATTTGCAAGAAAGATTTCAAAGATGCAACATCTCAGAAAATCTCAGAATTAACATGAACTTCTTGTAAAAGACATCCCTTAAAATGTCCTCTGGTAGAAGCAGACATTTGGAAAAAAGACTGACTAATGGGTAACTTCAAAGCCACTTCTTCCAGCTCTGTGCACAGTCCTTCCGCATGGGTGGCGCACACATCCTCTCCGGAGCTCGCTGCCAAGACTGGTACTACTCCCTCATTTTATGATCATAAATGTGTCATGAAAGATCACGTGGTCAAAAGACATCTAAATGATTCTGCTGCCTTGACTACTGGAGAGTAGTCTCAAAAAATGCATCCCATCAGATCACAAGTGTACATTTGGTCACACGACAGGAAGCACAAGCAGTTTGCAATGCGGGACTGGATGTGAAGGCAGAGCCTTCTCCTGTGAGAGCTGGGCAGTTGCACTTTTGCCATGCCATGAGAAAGAAACTGCAAAGATGGGACTGATTTGCAGAAAGTTCACCTGACCTGCAGACCTCCTTCCTGGCTGATGTTTAACCAGGTTGGGCAATGCTCCTTTATGCTGCTTGGCATGTGAAACAGCAGCCTTCATCAAGCAAACTGACATCTAGGACGTGGCTTGCTTTTCAAAACACATTTGGACACAAGATTGCCACTTCATGTGCAATGAGCATAATTCTCAGAAGTAAATTGAAACTGATGTACCTGTACAGCACATATCTAAACGGAAAAAGGATTCTTCATCTTGAAGAAATCATCACTTGTAAATCCTGGCAAGTGCCTGAACACAGTCTCTATCCCTGCACTGACCTCACAAAATGCAATTTGCAATCCCACCCGATACACGCTCAAGAGTCTCCTTCGGAACTTTTTAAAGAATAAAGCTTTGGAAGTTTCCCAGCTCCCTTTTCAAAAGAGTTTAGAGATTCACACACCATCATTTTCTATGATGGTTCCATACCTGACATTGCCCAGAGGGGAAATAAGGCTATTAATGAAATGTCACCTTCGGCAGACTTGAAAAGCCATAATCAAAACCAAGATACATGGGATACTCAGAGACTGTCTGAGCTATCAGTAGAATCGGAGTGACTCAGCAGAAGGTAATGAGGATCTTCAGTTCTGTATCAATCTTGGAGATAAAATGCGGTGGGGGAATGAAGCAATCACACAGCAGCAGATCATGCACAGAGGTGCCTGGAGTTCTGGGCAGTGCTGTCTGATAAAACTGGCTGCTAAGAAACTGCAAGCCATCTTAAACCAGCCAATATAGAAAAATTGTTTAACTCTGTTCAAGTTCGTGTAGCAAGATCACTCAGATGTGTTCCACATAACAGTCTCTATTCTTCTCTATTCCTGATGTTTATTTTTCACTATCAGCCTCCTACTCATATAGCACACGACTAGAAGCATCTGACAATTTCCAGTGCTCTCATTCATCTCTGTGTGCTGCTTGAGCCCTTTTCCTTACACCTCTCTACAACTGACTCAAAAGATTGTACTATCAAGGCTGAGTTCAATGATCAAGTTCACTGCTTAAGGCTTAATTGCTGTGCAAAAAAATGAGCAAACACTAAGTCTTTTAAATGTCAGCCAAACAGTACCAGCACCTTCCTCCCCAGACCAATGGTAATGTTTTCAAATCCTCTAAAAAAAGCTAATTTATTTATCTTCCTACCCAGTCTACTTCACGAGCAGTAAAAGCTGCAGAGATCTTCTGATTTACATATTTCTAACTGGTTAAAAGCTTCTGAAAAGGCCTATTAACTTTTTACAAAGATTAAAAAAAAAACAACTGAAAATTTTTACAGCCAAATCTGGTCGGTCCATACAGTATTGTAATGCACAGCCTCACGTGAAGGGATCAAAAAGCTTTAATTATCTGTGATGTTACAACATATTATTATATGATGAACCAGTGACCTACTAATCCAAACAAAACAAATCACAGCACTGCTAGCTGAAAAGGAGGGCAGGACTCATTCAAGCTGTGAAGGTAGGTCTATGGCAGGACGCTGAGATATCTGTTAGCTTTTCAAAAGCTACAAAATTTTCATGGAGAAATCCTGAAGGACTGTGTAGAAAATGTCAAAAACTTATAGAAACACTGTGAGCTGCCAACAGAATTTTAAAGAAAAGTCGGACAAAATTCTGGCACTTAGCATCTTTCATCTAAGTGTTCTGAGGAGCTTTATAAACACTAGTACCAGAAAAGGTTTAAGTAAATTATACCCATCCTAGGCAGGGAAATTGGCACATCAACTAAGCAGTAAAGAAAAGCCAGGGCTCCTAATGCCAACCACCTAGCTGCTCTTATCTTCCAGTTATGACAGTTCTAATGAGAACTGTGTAACACATGGGAGTGTCCAAAGAAAAAAGTATTTCAATAGAACAAAGAAACTTGAGGATTTTATAGAAATTTTAAACAACTCCAGGCTTGGGAAAATTAACAGTCATGGGCAGAAATACAACTTTTATGCTAATTTTATGATAAATAATAAATATTTACTTAGACTAAAAATATTCAGTGCATTGTTTAGTATCAAAGTTTTGATGAAATCTACTGAAGAAATTCCAGGTCCTGCCTATGTTAAACAGGAAACTCATCTTACACTGCTTGTTATTTCTAATTCCCACATGATAAGTTTTACAATAGCTACCTGATTAGGGCAGGAAGAAATCTGAATTTGTTTTAACACCAAAAATAGATCAGGATTAAGCCACCATATTTTTCAACAAAAGAGGAATCTGATCCATCTTCTTCAATAGCTTACCATATACATACATATTATTCTGTTTTTTCTTTTTCCCTGAAGCTGTTTAGCTATGAAGACGTCAACTTCTAAGTACTCTAACATGAACAGTCACCACAAGCAGCTTAATTTTTCACTTAAAAGTCAATGTCAGACACCAGTCTTACTTATCTGATACAAGAAAAATATTCCTGGTTCAGTGGCTCCATTTCTACCAAACAGAAAGAACAAGAGGAAATGCTGCACTTACTTGTTAAAAAGATTCAGCCCAATCCTATAATGGCGTTTCCTGATAACATCATTACTGAAGGCAGGGGAATCCCAGCTGTTCCGAGTTTCTTTGTGGTAGGTTTGTTTGCTCAAGGTTTGCTCCCTTAGGCTGTCTCTAGAAGAAGATTCTGAGCTGCAATTTATTGTATCATTAGAGTTGGAAGTGCTGTTGATGCTGTCGTTGTCTCCATCAGAATAATCAGACTCTGATTTGCTCTGCCTGTTCGCTGTGCCGTTGATAGCTAAATGACTATCTATAGGCCTCGCCCGATGTCTCGCCTCCTGCTCCTCTCGGGATATAATCTTGGCAGGAATACTGTGAGGGATGTGTTTTGGGCTCCCCTGTTGACTAGTGATCCCTCGGTCATAGGCATTTTGTCTCTTTAATGAACCCCTGTCTGAGCGATCGCTCAAGTCCACTGAACTGTCACTGGGTGGCTCTATGGTCAGCAACGGTAGATGGTCCATTCTCATCCTCTGCTCCTGACACTCCAGTGACGGGGTACTCCTGCAGCTCGTATCTGTGTCTATCTTGTCATCTTTGTGGGTCATGGACCAGTACTCTTGAGAAGAGTTCACAGACCGGAGCCTCAAATCAGATTCTGTGCTGGACGGTCTGTCTACTGACTGGGAAAGTGGAAGGGGTGGAGATAACTCTTCCTCATCAATATATAACGTAACATCACTGTACGATGCTGTCATCTCATCAAGCTTCCTGTGATCCACATTGTGAATTGCTGGTTTAGTTTGAGCACAAGTGTCCCTTTCCATTTCACGACTTCTGACCTGATCCGGCGTCTGGACTTCATCAGAATGCAGACTACGGCAGTTCAGGGCATCGTCAATGGACTCTGCGAGGGATTTCACCTGCCTGGAAAAAGCATCCTCCAGTTCTGTTATCGCATCCGCAAAATCAGTAGACGCTGCTGGAGACTTCATGGTAGCTGACTCTCCAAGGTCACCACATTCAGACTGTACCAGGGATCCCAGCTTTGACCCATCATTTGTAACAGAAACTTGTTTTCCTTCAAAGTAAGAGCTGTGGACTTTCTCAGGTCCTTCAAAAGAAAACTGCATTCTCATATTGGACAGTACAATGCGTCTTGACATACGATTTTCAGACATAGAACTTCTAAGACGCTCAAAGTTTTTGTTCATCTGATACTGGCGAAAAGCTGTTTGTATAGTACGAGCAGCATGTCTAGTTATGAGACGGCCTCCATACTTCCGTTCTAGCATTTCCACCTGTGAAAGGGTGAACACAGTTACTTTGTGACTTGATGTAGGTTAGGAACAAGGTTAAAGTACAACCAAAACAAATTTTGATTTTTACAAATTTAAATTTCAGAAATTTTTCGAAGTGTGTAATGTTTTTTAAAGAAAAAACTCAAAATTCCAGACTAACAAGTGCACAAATAGTGAAGCAAATAGTCATTTGCCAATTCCACCATAAAATACAGACAAAAATATGGCTACACGAACACTGTTGCATAAAATCAAGGTGTTGGCAATTGGTGCGTGTGTTTAAACTCTGGTTTTCACACATTAGCACTGGTGTGCCCAGGACAAAGCAGACAAGACAGCACTCTAATGCAGTGTAAAGCAGTCATTCATTCTCTGTAGGGACAACTGCAGAGAACTTAAATCCAAGTATAACGTGAATTATCACATTTGGAGAGTAAATTCTGAAGTGGCAATCACCTTTCCAGGCACAAGTCACTTTCTATGTGAAAACCAAGCAGTATCAATTCACCCAGGCCTGATATCAAAACAAAACTGAGCCTACCAGACCATACACTTCCAGAGAGGTTTCTCTGATAAAATATCCACATACGCAGTCTTCCTCAAATCAGGAACATATTTCAGACCCTCTAAATACAAATTCAAATCTATTTTCATTCTTGTAATTACACTCAAAATTGCCAGTGTTTTCAATTAACAGAATTAATATGCAAAATAAATACATTATAAATGCTACAAATTTAACCTAGTAAAAATGATAAATGAGTACTTTTGGGATACTCAGATATTTTCAAACCTTTCCTTCCAAAACAGGAAAAGCATCACTTATTTAAAAAACACTGAACAAGATGAATAACTAGGTTTATTTCAATTTTTTCCCCAATATTTAATTTCTCTTCTCATCAGTCTTGCTGGATCCATATTATTCCCAAACACAAAACATCCATCACACATCAGTATGTTTAGTACTACAATTAAAACCACCATTTTTCTGGCAGCACTTTTGTATAAGTCCATGCAATTTTCATAATACTCCAATGATTTAAAAGTCATTTCTCCTTGCCTGCAAATCCAGGTACCCTTTTCCATTAGACACAGTGTTTTAATTACTTATGTTACCTGCACATGCACACACAACCTCTCCCCCTCACACTTTGGAGATCTCTCCAAGTAATTGTTAAGTTCAGATATTGATATGCAGAGGGGCTTCATCCCCCTTCTATGGAAGGAACTAAATGCTACTCAAAAATATTTTCTAGTTCATTCTGTCTACCATTTGGGAGCAGGTGACATTTCAGTGCTACTGCCAGGTTCAGCAGCTCCCATTCTCTTTCCACATTAAAGATGATCTCCTCTCTGGCTCGGTGTTTTTAAATGTGAATAACTATCTTTTACTATTTTTTTATTTCTAAATGCAAAAAATATCATCCACAGTTATTAGTATAAACTGAGGTGGCTGGTTTCTCAGATGGGCTCAGATCAGAATTACTGCTAAGGAATTATTCTTTTGACTGTATCTTGAAACTAAGTTCAAAAAGCTGTGACTGATCTCTGAGCTGGGAATCTGTAAATCTCTGCAGAATTTTCTATAGTTAATCTTTAAAAAAAATTGTTTAGCCTTTAACCCCCAAGTGGGGGTTATACGACCCCCACATGTGCACGTGTCAAAGAGGCTATGAGGTTACTTGTAAGGCAAGCTGAAGATCAAAAAAGTTTTTGAGACCTTTTCTCACAACTCTGCCACTGCTGCCACACGTGCTACTTTTTCTATCCATAGTATACATTGGGTCACGTGTGTTTAAATAAATTGTAAGAGATTATTTTGCTGGACTAATTTCAAAACACATGATGAATTGTTAATTTAGTTGTCCTCTCAAAATTAAATGTCAAACCCAAAGAAAAGAAAACTGGCACGGCTGGTGTGAGAGAATAGAACAAAAACTAATATTCTGTGAAATAAATTACCTGGATTTCATTCTTGCAAACAGGCTGCTGTTCTTCAGGTTTACACAGAAAATGACATCTTCATTATCATAAATTAGGGGGTTTTTGTGGGAATTTCAATTGAGTGTTTTGGAATTTGCCTAGGTAATTTACTAGCCTCACGTCTAATATTGCTAATAAATGTTAATGCACCTTTTTAATGCATATTTAATGCACAATGCCTTTAGGTAAAGCCTTGGACATTTTCCTAAATAGTTGTTAAGTATCTTCACAGATTTCAGTAAGAGCTTTTCAAGAGCACCAAGCAACTCTCCAGTATCAAGCTTCCTTTATGTATCAGTGTCACTTTTTATTGTGTAGGACTCCCTGAACAAATAAAAAATAACATCTGCAGTCCTCATTCTCTATCAAACCAGCATGAAAGGACAGATGGAATTAAGCTCTGTGGAATATCTGCAGTGCAGGAGACATCTTTATTAAGCCTTACACTCTGTATCAATCCCTTATGAGATGTCTAGGAAAAAGAACTGCCAGAGGTGGGAAAGGAAGGAACATTTTAGATCTCAAAAGGAGGTCCAGTTTAATAGCACACCTGGGATAATCTAGATCAAGCATCAGGAACTCGGTATGTTCCCACTTCAGTATAGAATTTGGTGAGCATAAAGGCTAAACTGAACTCACACTTGCTATCCCAAATACTGGCTTCAACTTCAATCCAGTGCATACTGCACATTCACTTACCTTAAGCTATTACAGCATGATTTGAAAATTATAAATATGAACTTACACAGCAACAAACATCTTTCAAATAGGAACTACATTCAGAACAAAGCTTAAAAGGAATGGCTGAGGCCGACTGTCTTACAGAATACGTCTTTAGGGACAAAGGCTTTGAACATCTACCACCCAATTGGTAGATCTTCCACCCAATTCTTTGTAAAGCATACAGGAGTTTTGGCTAGTTGAGTACAAACCAATTAAGACCTTGAATTCACCTCACAGATCTGAGAGAATGTCAGTTGCAGTAAGTTCTTCCTTTCTTTCAGCAAAAACAGATAGGCAGGTTTCTAAATGTCTCATTTTCTTAGAAAAATATTTTGCATTATCACATTCAAGAATGAAATCACAATTCCAAGAACTGTTTTAACACTATTAATATATCTTTTAGGTGTTTCCTCAAGGAAGGGGGGGAAGGGGTTTGTGACACAGGGGCAACATGACACAAGAAAAAAAAGTCAAAGCCCTCAGAAATGCTGACATATGACTATTTTGAACTAAGCAGATTGCAGGGGGTGGGGGGGGAAAAAGTATTTTCAGCATCACAACTGAAGTGAAAAGATTTTTCCCAGCTTACAGACAGGTTGTCCTTGTCATAAATTGGGTAACTAAGCTCAAATACCTGCTTATCTTGTAGGTCCGAAGAGAGTTCATAGCTCTCAGAAAGTGATCTTGACCTTTTAATAGCTTCTTCCTCTGCTTGTTTTCGCAGTATGGACGTCGAGTGCTGCAGTTTTGGCCTCCGAGATCTTTGTTGTCCAGGGGAGACAGAGTACAGCCCGTAAGCAGAATGATCGTAGTGGTCTGGACTTACAGCTGAACTGTGTGTTATAGGTCCTTGATGGTAAGTAGATGGGCTATCCAAAGATGTGCCAGTTTCACTGCTTGGAGCTTCACCCTCAACACTAGACAGAATGAAAAGAAAGGAAAATCCTCAGGTGAGTATTGTATAGCAAAGTTCTCAGCAACAAATAGCAGAGTTTTGCTGGGCATCATTTTGTGTGGACATCCAGCACATGCTGTTCAGTCAGTTAGTGCAGGGTCATGGGGCTTTCATGCCCAACACCATGGTTTTCACTGTACTCTAAGCAAGTCTCTGTTTCTATTCCAGAGGTCATCTTTAGAGCACGAGTCAAGCAGGAGAATGGAGATTTCAAGCATTATTTAACTTTATACAGTAATTACTAATAACATCCTGAGTAAGTCACTCAGCAACTACTGTGTAAAATAAATGAAAACTTTTAATTTCTTTTAAGACTGCTCATTTCCAAGTTGCTCTAGTTCAAAATGACCGATGCTTATTAATGTCTTTCCTTGCTTTGACAAATAAAAGCAATACTTTCTTACTGTTACATTACAGTATGTCATAAAAGGATTACTCTGATGTTACTCAAAGGAGATTTGGGATTTAATGGATCCTGTGAGCTACTGTGTTTCTAGAAACTGAAGTTGGGGAAAAGTACCTACAGGAGTAATCTCATTTATTTCTCTGTTAGTGAAGGATTGCTCCCATGGGATACCTTTGGCATCCTTTGTAGAAACGCATCCCAAGGGATGCTCTTTCTAGCTAATGAAAGCAAAACAGTTTCAGGTAAGGGAAACAAAATAGGAGCTATCAGGCAAATAAAACGCTTCATTTTCACATTAATGTTGTTACTGCTAAGGAGTAAAAAGAAAGAAAAAAACCTTTATATTAAAGGAGCTGTACACAATAGGAAACATATCAAAACTGAGTGCTAGTTGAGCACTCAGCTCAACAAATACAAATACAAATACAGCAATTTGTATTTGTTTTACATTTACAGTAGGGCATTCTCACATTGCAATAGTGTATGCACTTTCACTCTTCCACAGTACCTCTTTTCAGATGTTCCACATAAATATTTACTATCTGCCTCATCCTGTGTACACAGAGCACCGACAGAAAAACAAAATTTTACTTTTTTTTAAATCACTCAAAAGACTCCACACATGCATGAAGAAAAAAAGCACTTTGCAGTACTTCCCCTACCTTCTGTTTTAGGAACAGGTACATCCAAACTCTAAAGTAGTTAAATTTCACATTTCCACCACGCCCTGTGTTTCTTATTTTGCTTTCCTTCACATGGATATGAACATAAAAAATAAAGCCCTTCTGTTGCCTCTCAGAAGCGAAGTGCTGTGACCCTCGCTGCACACACAGCACAGCAGTCCCTTCAACAGTTCAAAGTACAGAGCGATTTCAGAAAGAATGTTCTCCACCAGACCGCAACGCCAGGAGAGATCAAGGTTAACACTGGCAAAGCTCCCCTAGCTTGAACAGTGTGTACTTTTTAAAGTGAAGGAGAAAAAAAAGTCCCTTCGACTTCTCAAGATGTTTCTATAAACACATGAAACTGAAAGCAAATCCTCTTTCGTTGCCCATCAAAATATGACTCTACCCAAAAGGTATTTTCAAACATACTTCACCCAAGCTGCAAATATTTTCAGTGTGCGCACATAACTTTTTCCAAAAAGGAAGCTGACAGGAAACTAATCCCTTTCCCTTCGTGATACAGATGGCTTTCAACTTAAAAATGATAAATTATCCAGAGTTTTGTTAGTGACACTGAAACTGTGTAACCACCCATTAAAAACAAACAAATCATTCTCTTTAAAGTAGTCATTAAAGAAATCAGTGTGACACTGAAATGCCTCACATTCTCTCTGAAGTACTGAGGAGTGTTTCTCTATCCTGCTGATCTGTGAGGCCACGCTGTTTGGTACATCACAGGTTCCTAACGACAAGCCTATTTATAAGTACTTTTCATACAAGTATGGCAAATTTGTTTGTAACAGGAAGTCAAGAATTACCACTATTTCCCCTTTCTTAGGCTTTGTGACTTTTTTTGTCTTCCTTGTCCTTACATTGTGAACTATTTAATCACTCTTCCACATTGATGATAATCATGTTGACATTTTAGCAATGCTGCCTTCAATGGATCACTTACCCTTTCATCAGCAAAAAGGGTACTGCCCTAATCAGAAGAAACTGGAAGGGGGTATGCCCCAGGTTCTCATTAAAGTTAGGGGCTTCTTTATTTTTAGTTCATCTTTTGTACTTTTTCCAGACATAAATATGATCCTCGACTGTCTGTAATGCTTGATCTCATTTTGCTCATAGGTCTGTTCCCTGCCATCAGAGCTGACCTTTGAAGCAGGGAAGTAATTACCTTTTACAACAGGCAGCCTCCTGCACAACACTATGACAGCCCCCTAAAGCACACAAGTGTGCACAGTGAGTACTGCCCAGTTGAAGGCTTCCTCCCATTCAGCTCTTCCTTCTCTCTTAAGAGCAGCTGAAGCTTCATACAAACTATTTCATAAAAATGAAACTCCAGTGACAAAGAAAAGCAGCTCAATTTCTACTTCTTTCTACTTTACATGTGTTTGGAAAAGAAAAATATTTCAACAAATATGACTTGTGTGAAGTGTTAAGGATGACGAGGTGTATTGCCCCACTATGGTGGAAGTGCAGAGAGCATCGTGGGACACAAGTGTGGACCTGACAATCATCCTGTCCATGTCTATTTTGAAAGATTGTACGTTACAAAGGGTCCCTTTGATTCAGAACAGATTCAGGACACGAGTCAGTCCCTGCATGGTGAAGGATGGGTTTTATCTATCCACACACAAAAGGTCAGGGACGCTGCTCCAGGCTTGCCACAAGAATTAGAGTAAGTCCCCTATGACCTGGGGAGCATTCAGACATCTCTCTAGCACTACTTCACTTTGGACACACTCTCTCAGTCAGATGAGAAATTAAGTACATTAAATACACTGCAAAAACGGAAATGTAACACTTGACCCAGTCCCAACTGGAATTGGAAAGAACTTCTTAAGAAAGGTCTCTGATTCGAGGCATCTGCCACCTACTACACATGTCCAGTAGAAACACTGATCATTTCAGTGTTTAAACGAACCTAGGGGATGAATTTGTTCATCTCCCTGCAATGGGCAACGGTTTCTTACTGTGGAGACCAGCAATATGCTGAGTATTCCAACTGTGTAACATTAGGAGAATGCAAAACAGTTGAAATTAACCTTTCATTTTTAGAACTCTGATTGTTTTATCACACTCCTGTTTCAGCAGAAAACAGACATTCATTACCTGCCAAGCCAGAAAAAGAGAAAGGCTGCTTGCCAGTCTTTTACAATGAAGCAGAGTGGAGCAGCTAGACAGTGAAAATGGAAATTAAATATTTTAAAATAATTGGTACTGTTAATATGATTTTGCATGAACAAAACTTGAAAACAGAGCCATAGAAAAACTTAGTTTCTTTGTTCATCCAAATTACTTTTTTGAAAGAGTGGTCAGCTCTGACTGAATCAGTATTTTATCAGAAACTGACACTGGAAGTTTCTTCCTGTTTAAACTTCAATTTGTAATACTGTTAAAACCCCCCACACCACCACTGTATCAAGGAACCACAGGGAAGAAGAAAGGCCTTCAGAAAGATGGAAACAGACTAAGTAGAGTGTTTTAAAATATCTCGATGGATATGTAAAACTATTGGTGAAAATCAGGTTCATTTTACTTTTTCTCATGACTATAAACCAGTATTAAACACCAAACAGCTGGATTCAAGTATTTGCTTTTCTTCTGCGTGTGTATGGCTGCAGACTTCCTGCAAGAGCTAAGCCACACACTCTGCAAACATCTTTAAATTAAAATGCATCAGCTGTAGTGACACACGTGCATGCGAGTAGGATGTGCTGGCTTCATCAGCAGGGCAGGGAGATGAGGGTCACCCCGGCAGTGCAGCTCACGCTGCATTTACCCGGGATGCACACGGAGCTCTAACAGCCTCAGAACCAAAGCTCACTGCCCTGTCTGAACCAAAGGCGAATTCCAACGTGCACTGGCTGCCAAAAGCTGCTTTTCTAACTGATTTGCCTAAATATCAAAGCTCAGTAACCCAGTGCGTGGCTGCATCTTTGGGCTAAAGCAGCATACAATAGAGCCAAGCTGACAAAATGTGAAGTAGGTGTTGTTACTGGATAGAAAAAGGTCATGGTTTTTACAGTTATTTCCCACCATTCAGGTTATAGGTTCATTTTAAGAATTACTTAGTAAGAAAAAACTGTTTCCTTCTTCCCTCTGCCCAATTGCCAGTGCAGTTGTGTGGTTAGCCATGACCAAAACAAAGCATTTCCTCTCCGGGCATTTTAGCAGCAGAAACCTGGCAGGTCTTTTCTTCTCTGTCTCTTACTTTATACCTTCAGTTACTTCTGATTACAAAGTCTAATTAGTAACCAGTACACTAAAACCACCATCACATGTTAAAACAAAGTATTATTCAGGATGTTTTAATATCTACTGTTATTCTTTGATTTATTTTTCATTTTTATATTCACACCTTCCTTTTCCTTCAAAATGCGAAACAAATATCTTGGCAAAATAAAAAATAAACACAATAAAAAAATATTGAAAAAGCAGAAACACTGAACATTTGAGCTGAAAATGGAAACTGGAAAGAATCCTCAAGACTTAAATTTCAGTAAAGAACAAATCCCAAGCTCTTTTATGAATATAGACTTACTCATTCCACTGATAATAATGGCAAAATGATCAAAGAAGCTGCAGGTTTGGATCCACAGGCACAAGTATTTACCTCTCAGAGATTATACTATGAAATAAAGAGAGGTGATAACCTGAAAAGCAGAAATTCCCTTTTTACTGAGGCCCAGTATCTTATCTTTGAAGCTACATGCACGTGAGGAGGAAGTATATAACAATAACATCAGATGCAAGGAATGATTCAGTGTTCCCACCCACCCCAGAAACCTCACAGTTTACAAGTAGTGAAGTGTCCCAGTGCGTTTGTAGGACTCAAATGCAATAACAATGAGAACATATGCTTATAGAAATCATCCAAA